CAAAAGTAATTTTTAAAACTGGGGTTATGTTTCTATCGTTATTTATTTATTTATATCAAATGGCAGGTGTTTTAATGGTTATCATTAGCCATTTAGTTGATTTCAGGCTTCACAGAGGGGAAGGAACATCAAAGTGAAAAAAGTCGAGAAGGGGGGGAGGGAACAGAAGAGTGTTTCAAAGACGAAGGTAGAAAAGGTAGAAAGAAGGTGAGATGCGTACTATGGAAGTAGTCGAATATGACAGTGGGATGATGGTAGTTTGAAGTCAGAAGTCAACTGCCGATTAATAGACTTTTTTGCCGTATGATTATACGCTGCCCAGGATGCACCACGTGGAGGTAAGTCTATTGCACACACCGTATCTGTCATTATTGTGCATATCAAATGGAAGGCTATTTTTTCACGGGAGATTTTATTTTGTGTGAAATACTGTGAGCTTACACTTACTTGTCCAATTACAGAACTGCTTGGTACCAACCACTGAAACTATTCGAGTGCAATATCTCATGGAACAGTTGATTCAAACTGGGCATCCGGTTATGTTAATTGGAGCTGCTGGAACGGGGAAGTCCAATATCCTAAACGATATGTTTACACGCCTCAACAACGAAATCTTCCTGGTAAAGAACGTTTCCTTCAATTTTTACACAACCAGCCTCATGCTTCAAGATATCCTGGAGAAGAGTTTAGAAAAAAAGGCTGGAAAGAACTACGCCCCGCCTGGACAATTTAGGATGATCTACTTCATCGACGATCTAAATATGCCAGAAGTCGATAAATACTTTACAGTTCAACCACATGCCCTCATGCGACAACACATTGATCACAGCCATTTCTATGACCGCAGCAAATTGACTTTGAAAGTGATCCATAAGACGCAGTATGCTGCCGCCATGAACCCTACTGCGGGCAGTTTCACGATCCAAGATCGACTTCAACGCCATTTCTGTACTCTTGCTCTCTCATTTCCAGATGAAGAAGCAGTCAAATCAATTTACTCAGCTATTCTGGAGCAGCATTTCCGAAATTCCGGTATGTCGTCCTCTTTAATCAGGTTGGTACCTGAGCTAATTAGTGCCGCTGTGTTAATACATCATAAAATGACAATGACTTTCCTACCCACGGCTACATGTTTCCATTACGTCTTCAACCTTCGTGACCTTGCTAACATCTTTCAAGGAATGGTCTTCTCTGATGCTGAAGTTTTCACAACCGATGTAAGTATTCTCCGGCTTTATCGTCATGAAGCCTTGCGCGTCTACGCTGATAGAATGATCACAAAGGATGATATTAAACAAGCAACAAGCATAATCAATAATGGAATCAGTGTTACTTTTGATGAAGTAGCTTTGGAAGAGCTGATTGCAGAACCTAATATTTTCTGCCACTTCAGTAAAGGCCTCGGAGAAAAGATATATTCTGAGATACGATCAATGGAAGACATAACTCAGGTTCTAATAGAAACTCTTGAAATTTACAATGAAACCAACGCAGCTATGAACCTGGTACTTTTTAGTGATGCTGTCGAGCACGTAATGAGGATATCTAGGATCTTGGAGATGCCGAGGGGCAATTGCTTCCTTATTGGTGTCGGCGGTTCAGGCAAGCAGTCGCTGTCAAGGCTCGCTTCATTCATTGCTGGCTTTGAGGTTTCGCAGATTGCATTAAGAAGAAACTACACAATGGCTGATTTAAAGGCTCACTTAGCCACCTTGTATATGAAGGCGGGTTTGAAAAATATACCCATTGCATTCCTGATCACCGATGCTCAAGTAGGTCCCAGCAATCTTCCTTCTTCTCTATATCTTTTCGCTCAATGAATGACATGGTAGTGGGAAATAATCTTGGGTAAACTGCCAGGTAATGTACTTAAAAGTTCACTTCTTAACTAGACGGAAACAGGCACAATTCGGAACTACCCTCTTTATTTTAAAGGCTATTTCTGAGAATTGATACTTTAAAAGGACTTTAAAAAAATCTACTTGCATACTAATAGCAAGTTAATAGGTCATGATGAAAGAATTCTCATATTCTCAAAGACTTCTTCATTAGATTTAGAATTAATTATAAGGGATTTTGGACTTAGCACTTTAGCACTGTCAAATAGGGGACAAACAGGTTTATGTTTGTTAGATACTCGAACAAACTCATTATTTCAGCTATGATATTCACTTCTTCAGGTTGCTGATGAAAGTTTCCTTGTCTGTATCAATGATTTGTTGGCTTCTGGTGAAATATACGGTCTATTCAATGACGAAGAGCTGGAAAATATAATTAAGAGCATTCGAAGTGAGGTCAAAGCCATGGGGTACGCTGATACTAACGAGAGTTGCTGGAAATTCTTCATTGAGAAGGTCCGGAAGACGCTTAGAGTAAGTTGAATAACATTGATCTAACAAAACTCAAACACGATAACTTTGGCTAAATGTATTGTGCTGCTTATTGCATTGGTGTAGGTTATTCTCTGTTTCTCGCCGGCTGGGAGTACACTAAGAATCCGTGCTCGTCGATTCCCGGCACTTGTTAATTGCACTTGCATTGATTGGTTCCACGAATGGCCTCAGGAAGCTCTCTTATCAGTGTCTCGCCGGTTCCTTGAAGACTGCGAGGATCTTGACGTAAGACTGATAAACTAGACGAATTAGATCAACAAAGCTGGCCTGTTCTAAGACAGTTTACACTTTTAGGAGGGAATCCAACCATCGGTTAGCGAGTATATGGCATATTTGCATACAACAGTCTCTGAGATATCTGAGGTTTACTTTGAGAGAGAGCGCCGCCGTAATTACACTACTCCCAAGTCCTTTTTGGAAATGATAGCTCTGTACAAGCGCCTGATTTCGAAGCAGCATAATGAGATAAACGCTATGATCGAGCGTCTTTCTAACGGTCTGGAACGTCTAAGTGAAGCCGCTGCCCAGACCACTGACCTGAAAGCTCAATTAGCTGAGCAGACGATCGAAGTGAATGAGAAGAATGAGGCAGCAAATGCACTTATCCAGACCATTAAAAAGGAAACTGAAGTAGTTTCGGCTGAAAAAGATTTCGTAGCTGGTGAAGAGGCCAAAGTGGCTGTGATTAAAAGCGAAGTCGAGGTGAAACAGAAAGATTGCGAGAGGGATTTGAAGAAGGCAGAGCCGGCTCTAATTGCAGCTCAGGAGGCCCTAAACACTCTAAATAAGAATAATCTCTCTGAATTGAAAGCCTTAACAGCACCACCCAAGGATGTGGAAATGGTTTGCTCGGCTGTGATAGCTCTCTTTGCGATGGATGGAAATGTACCCAAGGATAGAGGATGGAGAGCAGCTAAGGCAGGCATTATGTCAAAAGCTGACACACTCCTAGCCAACCTTCTCAACTACGACAAGGAGCACATTCATCCAGAATCCAAAAAGTTGGCTCTAGCCTATGTGCAGAACCCTAACTTTGATCCTGAGGTTATCAAGAAAAAATCACTTGCTGCAGCTGGTTTGTGTGCTTGGGTCATTAATATTCTCAAATTCCACGATGTTTATCTCGAAGTAAAGCCAAAACGAGATGCCTTAGATGCGGCCAACAAGGAATTGAAACTAGCCACTGATAAACTGCAGGCACTCCAAGATAAAGTTCATACACTGGAAGCCTCGTTAAGTAAGCTAACTGGGGAACTTCGAGCTGCAACAGAAGAGAAACTTCGTTGTCAAAAGATGGCAGATGAAACAGCTTTTACGTTAGATCTAGCAAACCGCCTAGTAAATGGCTTTGGTTCTGAAAAGGTTCGCTGGGCTCAAGAGGTTGAAAATCTCTACAAGTTGAAGGAGACCGTCGCTGGGGATGTCCTCTTTACAACTTCCTTTATATCATATTTTGGATATCTCAGTACCAGCTTCCGCGACGATTTAATGGAGAAGAGAATAAGGCCATTTCTGGATCAGCAGGAGGTACAAATTCCACGTAGAATGAATATTGATCCTCTCAAGATACTAATCAATGACGCTGTAGTAGCTTCGTGGAATAACAATGGCCTGCCAAGTGATCGAATGTCTACTGAAAATGCAACGATTCTGACCTTCTGTGAGAGATGGCCCCTCACGGTTGACCCTCAGTTACAGGCTATCAAATGGATAAAAAATACGTACGGTGATGATTTGGTCATAACACGCCTTTCCAAAAAAGGATATATTGATGATATCATAAACGCAATTCAAAACGGACAGATCGTCTTACTTGAAAATATTGGTGAGATACTTGATCCTATCCTCAATCCTGTTATTGGCCGTGTGACGATTCAAAAGGGTAAGGCCATGCTAATTGGTGACAAGGAGATCGCCTATAATCCAAATTTTAGACTAATTCTTCACACAAAACTAGCTAATCCCCATTACCAACCTGAGCTACAGGCGCAAACAACCCTCATTAATTTTACTGTTACAAGATCCAGTTTGGAGGATCAATTATTGGCCGTTGTAGTAAGCAAAGAAAGACCGGATTTGGAGACGTTAAAGTCTGACCTTACAAAACAACAAAACGAGTTCAAGATCACATTGAAGGAACTAGAAGACTCCCTATTAGCCAAACTTGCCTCATCTGGTGGCAACTTCGTCGGTGATCAATCTCTAGTCGAAAATCTGGAAACAAATAAGAAAATGGCCACAGAAATTGAAGAGAAGGTAAAAGAGGCTATAACTACGGAAGCCCAGATAAATACAGCTAGAGAGCATTATCGAACTGTCGCTTCTAGAGCAGCATTGATTTATTTCATCATGAATGAGTTAAATCGCATTCATCCCATGTATCAGTTCTCTTTAAAGGCCTTTCGAACTGTCTTTGAGAAGGCCATTGATACTTCACCAGAAACAGATACCGATAAGGAGCGTTTGGCAAATTTGATGGATAATATCACTTATTCCATTTATTTATACACTACTAGAAGTCTGTTCGAAAAGGACAAATTGATATTTATCCTCTTAATGGTACTTCAGATTCAGCTATACTCTGGTGACTTTCCACAGCAACTCATTGATTTCCTTCTTCGTTATCCAGCTATTGTGGATGTTAAAAGTCCGGTAGATTTTCTCTCGGATCTTAGTTGGGGTGGAGTCCAAGCTCTGATACAAATGGACACTTTTCGCGACCTGGATAAAGATATAACTTCTTCGGCTAAACGGTGGAAGGCATTGTTGGAAAGTGAGGCTCCAGAAAAAGAAAAGCTTCCACAAGACTGGAAGAACAAGACGGAAGCAGAAAAGTTGTGTATTATGCGAGCCCTTCGGCCTGATCGCATGACCTATGCTCTAAACCACTTTATTTCTACCACATTCAGCTCAAAATATGTTGAAGGAAGACAAATTGGCTTCGCCAACTCATATAAGGAATCTGGGCCTAATATTCCAATATTTTTTATTCTATCGCCAGGTGTGGATCCTCTGAAAGATGTTGAATCACTGGGTTATAGTTTGGGGTTTTCAGTGGAAAAAAACAACTTCCACAACATCTCTTTGGGTCAAGGTCAGGAGATTGTGGCCGAGGATGCATTGGATCTAGGGGCTAGAGATGGTCATTGGGTAATACTGCAAAACATTCATTTGGTTAAAAAGTGGCTTCCAACACTCGAAAAGAAGCTGGAGCAGTTGGGCGAGATTGCAAATGCTAAATTTCGCGTCTTCATTAGTGCTGAGCCGGCTCTCAATCCCGAGTCACACATAATTCCACAAGGTATTTTGGAAAATGCTATTAAGATTACAAACGAACCACCTACTGGAATGAAGGCCAATCTCCACAAAGCTCTTGACAATTTCTCTCAGGTTACATATTCTGTTGCTCATTTTCCAACCTTCATAAGAAGTAGTTTTAGCTAACATTTTGCTTTTTTAGGAAACTTTAGAACGTTGTTCTAAGGAAGCAGAGTTCAAACCTATTATATTTGCACTTTGCTATTTTCACGCGGTTGTCTCTGAGAGAAGGAAATTCGGTGCACAAGGCTGGAACAGAATCTACCCCTTCAACGCAGGCGATCTTTGTATTTGTTTGGACGTGTTGTACAACTACCTTGAAGTCAGTTCCAAAGTGCCCTGGGAGGATCTGCGATATCTCTTTGGGGAAATTATGTACGGCGGACACATCACTGACGATTGGGATAGACGACTTTGCCGAACATTTTTAGAGGAGTACCTTCAACCAGAATTGGTAAGTAGGCTTCATTTGAATCTATCTCCTCGGTTTGCATTGCATAATTGCATGACATTTCTATTTTAACCAGATAGATGGCGATCTATTTCTGGCTCCTGGTTTCCAAGTTGCTCCAAACTCTGATTATACCGGCTACCATGCTTATATTGATGAGAGCCTACCACAGGAATCACCACATCTTTATGGTCTTCATCCAAACGCAGAGATTGAGTTTTTGACCAAAAATGCTGAACGCGTCTTCCGAATGGTGCTAGAATTGCAACCCCAAGATGATGCTACCTCTACTTTTGAATCGAGTTCTCGTGAAGAAGCCACTCTTCAGATTATCGACGATCTCATGGACCGTTTACCAGAAGGATTCAACATTACGGAACTAGGAGCCAAGCAAGCGCCTGAAGAACGGACGCCATATACTGTTGTTGCCTTGCAGGAGTGTGAGAGAATGAATATCCTTATTGCCGAAATCCGACGCTCCTTGAAGGAACTGAGACTAGGTTTGAAGGGTGAGCTGACTATGTCGAGTGCTATGGACGTTTTGGCAGGACATCTTTTCCTTGACTCGGTCCCGGAGATGTGGGAGAGATATGCCTACCCTAGTCTCTATCCACTTGGACTGTGGTTCGCTGATCTGCTTACAAGATCCAAGGAACTAGATGTTTGGGCGCAGGACTTTACACTACCTGGCTCAGTATGGCTAGGAGGACTTTTCAATCCACAGTCATTTCTCACCGCTGTGATGCAGCAAACAGCGAGAAAATTTGAGTGGCCACTTGACAAGGTTTGTATTTCCGTTGAGGTCACTAAACGCACACGTGAAGAGATGGGCTCTGCTCCACGCGAAGGAGCATATATTCATGGTCTCTTCATGGAAGGTGAGTTATAACGTGCCCTACTTTGCCATTCAACTAGCTAAGTACTAATAACTGCTATTTTTGTCAGGTGCACGATGGGACACTGGGGCAAATGCAGTGGTTGAGGCTAGAATGAAGGAGTTAGCGCCACTTCTTCCAGTGATAATGCTTCGAGCAGTGCCCATAGACAGACAAGAATCACGACTTGCCGGTTTATATGCATGTCCATTGTACAAGACCAAGACACGTGGACCAACATATGTTTGGACCTTCCACTTACGAACCAAAGAAAGATCCTCAAAGTGGATTATGGGTGGCGTGGCATTACTACTCCAAGCTTAGACAGTTTTGTTAGAGTTGATATAAATATATACATCGTTTTATCTGTTTTATATTCATACTCTTCTATGAATAGGAGAAGGTCAATCTAAGCGGTTACATCCAACTCGAGACTTTGAGAGAATAAGACATTTATTGGTTAAACCGATGAACCGAGAAAGAAAGGAGAGTTAAAATGAGGAAGTTGAGGCAGTTGAGAACAAGGTTAGAGTTTATTGCAATCAACTGTTCCACCAGAAAGCAGATGACCCCCCACCCGGTGGTTGAGCAGTCTTCACCGAGGTGTGAATTGTTCTTTGACCCGGCGGTAGAGCCTCTACAAAGTAGAAAGCAAACAAGGCATGAGTTTTCACTTAAATAAATGCGTTTCAGTCGTAATTCAAACTCTTTTATATAGAAACTAATTACATATCAGCAAGCGAACTCAGTTTCCACTCTCAGTTAAATTCACTTTCCAGTCAATTTTTAAGACATTCTAAAAGTAAGTGGGTCTTTTGTCGCGACTTAAATAATTGTTAACAGTATGGAGATCATGCTCCAATTAATATTTTCAAAATAATATAGGAAGGTAGTAAGTTAAAATTGTAGCAAATTAGCCAAAATATAAATATCGTACGCTAAAAGGTAAAGAAAAATCCATTTCAAATGAGTTATGAAAACATGAAGATCTACCTTTGGGGGCGTTGTCGTAATCTGCTTTTCGGTAAAAGTGGGATTCTTTAGCAGATGAGTCATTGTCTTGCGTCCCATTTTGATTTATCACAGGGCCGGAGTAAGGTTCGCTCTTTACTGGGACAAGCTTTCCATCGCAAACCGATTTAAAAGCTGCCATACGACCGAAAACCAGGTTATTTATTCCTTCCGCTGAGATGAATTGCCCTCTGAAGTCGCTTGACTTCACGACTTCACCGTCTTTAACTACTAATTGCCCACGAAGTAAGACCACTTCGGCACGACATGAGTAGCATTTCAGACCGTCGAATGGGTCTTCAACGCATTCCGGAATCAATCCCACCGGTGAGAGAGTAGAATCCGTGTTCCAAATGACAATATCTGCATCACTGCCCTCAGCAATTCGACCTTTACGAGGATAGAGGTTGTAAAGTCTAGCAGGGTTTGCACTTACTGCAGCAACAAATCCACAAGGATCCAAAAGAGCCTCGATTTCCACTCCAATTTTCCAGAGAGCGCTAAGGCGCCCAGATGCAGTTGCTTGTCCAGTGGGTATCCGACGGAAATCATTCAACCCCATGCCAGCTCTAACATTGTTAGCTATCGCTCGGTGACACGAACCGACTGCCAACAGATCACCAGTGGCTACATGCATTAGTAGATCCTTGGCGATCTTTAGTTCGCTTCTTATCGGAGGATCTGAGGCACAGGCTGCAGCTTTAGCCCAATTGTGATGGTTTACAGTATTTCCAGCGAAGGTGCAGCCGATTGCGGGGATGTTTGTTGTACCAAATACGGAACTACTCAGCTCTCGTTGATGACAGAGTGCCTTTGCAGCTGATGGACTATAAATGCGTTTAAAAATGACCGGACATTTGACTTCATTTGCAAGCAGACCGACACGATTAATTGTATCCGCTTCGAACCGCTCTGGCGAAGCAATTAAACAGCCTTCAGGCCCGGTGACACCAGATGAGAAAACAGATTCCGCAATTTTGTTAATAACAATGGGATTTCCACAAGCAGGCACTGTGGGAGGTATACCGAGAGAAGCACACAGTTCCATTGCATTTAGAAGAGCATCCTCAGACAACATAGGCTCTGTCGAGTTTGCACCAGCCTGCAGGCGGAACGAAAAGGAAATGACTTTCTTCTCCGCAGCAAGAGCTTTCATTTCATCTGAGATTTCTGACGAGAAGTTTGGAATAGATAGAGAAATCGCGAAATCACATCGGCATCCTTTATCGAGGAGATTACGATGATGATTGTAGGCATCCGTGATACTACTTCCGGGACGGACATTTACGTCATTAACTAGTAAGATATGCACAACATAACAATAGAACTAATATACAGAATAAATTACTTAGATAACTAATCGTTGTGGCTTTATGCAACTAAAAGGAAAAGACAGCCAATAAGGTCAAGCTCTCAAGGTCGTCTTGTTATTCGACCAAATAGCGACAGAGGTTAGTCATCGCGCTTTAATTGGGTTCAACTGTAATAGTGATTTTACCTCAAAGTATGGAAGAACTAATCTTGAACCAAAACGTACTTATCGTAGTCGTCCCTCCTCGAAGGGAAGCAAGTGACCCTCTCTCGTAATCATCAGCAACAGGAACTCCGTCAGATGGGTTCATAAGTCTACAATCCGGATCTACGCTTCCAGGTAGAATATACTTTCCTTGAGCATCAATAACCTCAACATCATCAGCGATTTTTATATTCTGTCCAATTTGACTTTGAAAAATACTAATAAAAATATTTATTCTTACCTTATTTTCTCACCTTCGATCAGAACATCGGCTCTAAGAATTCCATCGTGATTTACAATCATGCCATTTTTTATTAAAATTCGTGTCTAGATTTTTAAAGCGTTGAGAATCGCTACCCGACTTACATTCACGGCAGCCATACTTAAATCTGAATCGTCCACGATACTTTTGGTGGGCCAGGGCGCTATGTTTTCAGCCAGCCACTAACCAATCGCGTAGTGAATTGGGAACAGCCAATGCCAGAGCAGGATGAGTTGGCTTCGTATTAATGCTTTGCTGCTGAGGCTGCTTTCACGCGCATCCGCATCGCTGTGCGCACATTTGGCTTTAGCTTCCTAGTATGTGTACATTTGTCCCTTTAACGGCGGCTATTGTGGCCTTGATTTCCCCTTACACACGGGTATTTGTCATTAGGAAAATATGAGCGAGCATTTATAGTGAATCACTCAAGAACTGTTCCCAAAATAGGTCTGGCAAATTAGTGTCGATGACACTATGTCCAGTAAAGAGTTTCTCTTGTGTCCTTGGAATAGATCACAAATAATGTTTACTGCGCAATGCGGTTGGACACAGAGTTTCTCTGACTAATTTGTGACTTATTTCACTTTCACTGTGTTCTTTAATAAAATTATATCTCTAAAATAAGAATTATTATGGAATCCTAGCATGGGTTCCATTACTATTTTTGCTTGCTCAACACATCTACCAATTCATGATTTCTCAAAATGACACTGAGGAGGTAATGTGCTCATGTGCGAAAGAATCCGATCCCCATCAGTGCAGACCCAGTGAGCAGAATGGCTAACTTTAAGTCGAGAGGGGGACAGAATAATGATTCACAGACGTAAAAGAGACAGACAAACAGACACAAAGGTAGAAAAAGGTGAGGTGAATACTGTGGAATTATTCGAAGATGAAATGTAATGGGGTCATGGTAGTTTGAAATGAGAAGTCAACTGCCGGTTGATAGACTTTTTTGCCGTATGAGTATACGTTGCCCAGGGTGCACCACGTGGAGGTAAGTCTATCGCACAATTTTAATATAAGGTATGCTATTTCCTCATCACATTATGCTCGTTTTCCCAAGCCTGTATAAATCAGAAGTCATCAGTAAAATATGACAAAGTCCTCAATCCACGCAAAGGGATTACATCGGAGTCTTTATTAAATCAAATGGGAAGGTAGCTGTCTTAAATGACATGTTCCATTCGCAAATGAAGTGAGACAAGCAGTCCAGTACAATCGTCGAGATTTGCCTTCAGAATATTATTTTAAACTGCTAAAAGCAAACGAGAGGCTTCCCATTTCGAAATTGAAGGCTTTCCATAACCGTTGACAAACTAAATGGAAGTGAGAATGTGAAACAGTACCTCATAATATTATATCGGTGTTATAATTTCACAATAAATCACATTCCGGGCATAGATTTACAGCTTTAAGCTTAATACTTATCAAATTTAGAGAATGAAAATTCCCATATTTTATTAAATAAGCTT